CTCAAGGCTAGTGCTCCACTATTTGAGCCATAACTCTACTTCTGGCTTTTCGGTGGTTTATTGGAAATAAGAGTCTCACAGACTTATCTGCCTGGGCTGGCTTCAAACTACAATCTGCCAATCTCAGCCTTCTGCCTAGCCAGGATGGTAGGTATGAGTTACTGACCCCTGGCAGCATTTGTATCTTAATAATTAGGAAGCATAAGATTTCAGCAGGTTACTGGTTATTTAGGATACTGCTGTTCTCTTAAAATACTGAGGAAGCTGAGGCTCCACTTCCTTCTACACTAATTTCAAAATCACCACTATATTTAAAAAAGGAGCTATAGATAGCCCATCAAGATCATCCATCAGTATTTAAGCTGTCAATATGCCATTCATCCACGTAGTCACAGTGCTGCTTACCCCTAGAAACCAATAATAGATGAGCACAGACCAGCAAATTGCCATCTCTAAGCATGAGCTAGATGGTCAGAGGCATCAGGTTTCCTGTGCTCAAGAGCTACCATAAATCCCCCAGCCTTGTGTCTGTTCCCAGGCTTGCAAACCCACTTCTGCCTATTGATGGGGATCTTTTGGTGGGGTTTGCTGAGCTTAACAGGTGTCTGATGAAAGATAGATAATCCTTGAAGATTATCTTCTCCTAAAAACATCTGGTGACCCTGAACCCACATAATCCAGACAGATGGGAGTCAGGAGTGAGTAGCTTGCCCAAGTTTACACTTCAGTATTTGAGCAAGTTCATATGGTTTGGCTTTACACAGTAGAAGATACAAGGATGAGGGAAGGAAGAGACCCCTTTGCCCTTTCCTTTCCTGAGAACATTATTCTGCTCTTGATCCACACTGCAATCTTAATCACTCATGGAAAAGGGAGGCTTTAACATATGTGAGAGTTAGCTTGGCAATTATTATGCTGAGATTAAATGAATTTGGGAGTTTAAATCTACAAAAAGGACCTTTGCCAAGGTCCTTTGTATTATATTGGATCTGTCCACATAAAGACAACTCTTCACCAGAGTTTATACTGTCTCCTTGGAGGGAGTTACCATTTCAAAGCAATGGGCCAGAATTAGTTAAAATGAGAATTGACTAGTCTGCCTAAACAGAAATAACATATATTTCTTTTCTCATCAAGCAGCTATCTTCTTAATCTTTTGAATTAAGTGTGTGGTAGCCTCTGCTTCAATACTCAGACCTCACCCTCCCCAGGTTAAGTAGTCCCAGGGAAGGAAATGAGCAAGCCAGGAGAGTTGACGTGGGTGAGGGGTTTATGGACCACTCACTTTTCAATTATGAGGCTCCCACTCAGGAGTAAGTGCTGTTCACCAGTACCTCTGGCTCACAGGCAACTTCAAGGGAATAATTTCACCAGCAATTAATTCTACAGCAGCTACTGGGATTTGTCCTCCACACATCACTTTGTTTCCATTTGAAACAGCCAGGTTTCCCCACAGGGAGTTGAGGTTTTTTGACTGAAACTATCCTGTATTAAGGAGAGGTGTTAGCACACCATGGGAATCTATTCACCAGAGGCATATTGTACTTATTTCAGATGCTTCAGGATAATATACCGGTTTCCAAGTTAAAGTGCTTTTTATTTCCCTGCATCTTAGATCAATTATTTGGATTCTTTTTGGTAAGTTTAGAGCGGTAACCTGAACCAATCACATCTCTGTCCTTACTCAATAAGTAAAATGTTCTTACAAAAATGAATATTCTGGGGCTGAGAAGGTGGCTCAGTGGTAGAATGCTTGCCTTGCATGCATAAGGCCCTGGGTTCGATTCCTCAGCACCACATAAGCAAAAAGAAAAAAGCTGGAAGTGGCTCTGTGGCTCAAGTGGTAGAGCGCTAGCCTTGAGCTGAAGAGCTGAGGGACAGCGCTCAGGCCCAGAGTTCAGGCCCTATGACCGGACCCAAAAAAAAAAAAAGTTTAAAAATATTATTATTCTGTCGGTACATTATATTGTAATTATACTGTGAAGAGCCTAGAAAAGGTAGGAATAAACAAAAAGTGAGAAGCTCCTTTCTTCCTCCTCCTCCTTCTCCTTCTTCCCTCCCCCCCCCCAGTCCTGGCCTTGAACTTGGGGGCCTGGGCACTGTCTTTGAGCTTTTTCAGCTCAAGGTTAGCACTTTACCACTTGGGCCACATACTTCTGACTTTTTTTGGGTGGTTAACTATAGTCTCATGTACTTACTCACTCAGGCTGGATTTGAATCATGATCCTCAGACCTCAGCTTCCTGAGTAGGATTACAGGCATGAGCCATCAGGCCTGGGAAAAAGCTCCTTATTTCAAATCCCATGTTATCAAGTTCACAATAGTGAAGCCCTGGCAGCTGCAGCTTCTGGACAGGCTAGTTCCTTGCTACAGGTGACATTATAGAATAGGAAAGACATGACACACACTTTCCTTCTTAACTATTCAGATTACCATTCTGATTTTATTAACAAGTAAGGAGTATAAAATACATCTGTTGTTCATCTTGATCTGAGAAATTTAAATCCCAAACTTCCTCTTCCTCCAAGAGATGACTTTGTGGGCTTCCAAACAGGTCTTGACATGCATGTCATTTCTTTCTACTGGTTGTAAATTCCTTGAGGGTCTTGGGAATCCAAAGGAGAAAGAGACAATCACCGAAGGCAATGCAGGGTACCTTGGGATAGTGGCGTTATGTGGTGTGCAGTTTTGGAGCATGGCATCCCTGAAAATCTCTGCAATGTTCTTCGTGTAGTTTAGGGACCCATTTCACTTGTTTCTCTCCTCCTAACATGCATCGGCTGCCTCCAGCCTTTGCTATCACAGTAGGAGAGTGTTACCTGGGAAGATGCTCATCACCCTGGCCCAGCCCCTAGACTTCTGGGATGGTCAGGATCAATCTCAGGCTGCAGCTGGTGTCCAGTAGAGTATCTCAGCAGACTGCCACTTAACATAATAGCTGTCAGTTGTGCTGAAAGGTGTGTAAATGTTTCTAAGACCTCAAGTTGCCTACTAGCTTGAATAGCCTCACCACCCTTTAGGGTCAGATCCCTATAGGTATATCTTCTTTACTACCTTGGGATGCAAAACCATGAACAGCTAGGTAAGATGGTGTTTGGGAAATCCTAGCTGTTTCCTTAGTCCAGAGCAGGAACTGTGAGAGGGTAGGCCAGAACAAAAAATAGCCTGTGCTTTTCAGCTTCTGTGCTTCTTGCAGTAGGGGAGGGACACACATATACTTTCTGAACCCTCTGGTTGTACAGAAATCTGTCAGGCCAAAAGGGGGACTTCTTGTCCCCCATCTGTAGGGCTCAGATAAGAACCAGTGATGACCTGGGGACTTCCACAGTCACTTCAGGGGACTTGAAATTGTGAGATCCCATGGGCAAAGGGGGATAGCTTTTTTTCATGGTTCTATGGTTCTCCCCTCAGGACTACCGAGCTGGGACCTCCAGCTGACTGAGTAAATTTCTCAGCATGTGCCAAGCACTTAGGAGGCGGGTGACGAATGTGCCAATTATCTGTGTTCTGAGGTCTGGGCTCCCTCTGCACTCTGGCGCAGAGCTTTTTCTGATGTTGACAGAACGTGATATGGGCTGGCTTTCACACCGTGGCCATTGATGTTAGCATTCCTAACACTGCTATTGAAAGTCTTGTGTGATGAGCGGTTTGACTGTAAAATGTTTGTTTGCATTCAATCAAATACCTTGTACTTAAACATGAATTCAAGAAACAACTAAGTCAGAAGGTGCCAGAAAACCTCTGTTAAATTTCTGCCTATTCTTTGTAATGGCATTCAGATTAAAGCTATCAAGATGCAAAATGCTATGATTATAATCCTATAGAGTTCAGGTTACATCTCTTGTTCTCTATTTCTGCATTATCAGCAGTGACTTTTGAGAGACAGGAATGCTCAAAGCATTGATGGGCTTTTTTCCCCCTTGTAACAACAACAACAAAAAAATCCTTAAAATTCTTGCAGCCATTTTGGAAATGTAGATAAAGAAGAAAAATGCCGAAGATTTGGGTGGTTTATAGAGCAGCACGTTTTTGTAATTGCTGCCACCTACTGTATGTGGTTGATGTTTGTTTAAATTCAGGAAGTTCATGAAGGTGAGGCTGTTGAAAAAGATAATTAGAGCAAGGTAGACATCATTAGTTTATACCATTTCTTCTCTGCTCCTAAGTGGCTCTTAATTACTGAGACAGCCGCCAGCTTTCATTCATTACTTTCAAGTGGATTTAAAGTTTTTCTCATTTCAGTGTTCTTTGCCAAGGAACCTTTGCAGTGATGTTGTAGAATGTGTTCAAAAGCTTAACAGTCTTAAGGATTCAGAGTATATACATGAAAGTTTGAGGGTGTTGTCGTTGTTGTTGTTGTTTATTTAATCTGTAGGAACAATGTTCTGGGGTTGGATTATAAATTAATTTCCATGAAAGAGGTGAAAATAGAGCTGGTGAAGCAGATGTGAGCTGCAGCAGTCGACTTGAAAGACATTCTTTTATTAGATCACCCAGCTAGTTAAATGTAACAGGCAATATAGACTCTGAGTCAACCAAGGCCCTTCTCTTTTATTAAGACCCAGCTGTCAAAGGGTCATTAGGTCCTTCCTGTGGAAAACAACTTGCCGGTTAATGTTTGGGGTGGTCTCTCAACAGGATTTCTGAGTAAGTGCCTGACATTGAGCTTTGGAAGGAATTTAAAGCCGGTGGGAGATTAGATGTGGAGCCTTACCAGAAGTAATGTCTTCAGTCTTGGCATTCATCTTTTTGTTAGATATGCCACCATGTATGCCTGGAATGTTGCTTGCTAGCTGTATGAATTGACTTAGAGTGCCACTATAAAAGATTCAGAAGGATAAACTTTCTTGAGATCGAATCACTGTAACTGGAAAGAAGCTACATACATATAAAGATGCACTCCAGTAGTGTTGTTGTTTTTTACCTTGCTGTTCTTTCTAGTGGCTCCTGGTTCCTAGCTTGGGAAAAATCCCAATGAACTTTTGCTTTTTCTACCCTAGGCTATTTGCTTTCTAGAAGAGAAGGCCAGGCAGGGTCTCCTGAAAAGCCACTCTCTGATCTGGGCCGTCTCTCCTACCTGGCCTATTGGAAGAGCGTCATCTTAGAATACCTCTATCACCATCATGAGAGGCATATTAGCATCAAGTCAATTAGCAGAGCCACAGGCATGTGCCCACATGACATCGCAACCACTCTGCAACACCTCCACATGATTGACAAGAGGGATGGCAGGTAAGTCTCCAGGCCCCAAGTCTCTAAAAAACATGTAAAAGCCTCTAAAAATATCTCTCATCAGAAAGGTTCCTGGCCCCTCTGTACAGTATGTTCACAAAAAATAAAAATTAAAATTAAAAAAAAAAAGAAAGGTTCCTGGAAGTTAGGCATGTGTATTCCAGTTAAAGATTGGGTTTCTTTGTTTTGTTTTGTTTTGTTTGGGGTTTTTTTTTGGGGGGGGGGTTCTGGTTGTGGGGCCTGAACTCTGGGTCTGGGCACTGTCCCTCAGCTCTTCAGCTCAAGGCTAGCACTCTACCACTTGAGCCACAGTACCACTTCCGGCTTTTTTCTTTTTGCTTATGTGGTACTGAAGAATCAAACCCAGGGCCTCAGGCATGCAAGGCAAGCGCTCTACCACTGAGCCACCTTCACAGCCCTTGGGTTTTTTTTTTTTAACTGTATTTTTTTTGTTGTTGTTTTTTCCTTTTTGGTACTGGGGATTGCACGTTGCACTTGCTAAGCAAGCGCTTTGCCACTGAGCTACATTCCAGCCCAAGATTGGGTTTCTTGATGGTATTATCAAAACTTTTCAGCCTGGTTATTAGTGGCTCACACTTGTAATCCTAGCTACTCCGGATGCTGAGATCTGAGGATTGTGATTTGAAGCCAGCCTGGACAGAAAAGTCTGTGAGACTCTTTTTCTCCAATTAACCACCCAAAAGTGGAACTGTGGCTCAAGTGGTAGAGCCTTGCGCACAAAAGCTCAGGGGTCAGTGAGGTTCAAGCCCCAGGAGCAACACCAAAAAAGAAAAAACAATCTTTCACCTATAATAAAAGCATGAGGGGCTGGGAAGGTGGCTCAGTGGTAGAGCGCTTGCCTTGCATGCCTGAAGCCCTGGGTTCAATTCCTCAGCACCACATAAGCAAAAAGAAAAAAAGCCGGAAGTAGCGCTGTGACTCAAGTGGTAGAGCGCTATCCTTGAGCTGAAGAGCTGAGGGACAGTGCCCAGGCCCAGAGTTCAGGCCCCACGACTGGACCCAAAAAAATAAAAAATAAAAGCATGAAATGATACTTCCTTGCTAGTTGTAATGTACTGATTTTTCCTGACCCAGGTAATACTAATGCTACTTTGTATCAGTATATAAAGGTGAAAAGAAATTTCAGCTTTTGATTGCACATTGTCTACCATACCACATTACAGGTTTGTAATCATTCGAAGGGAAAAGTTGATACTGGACCACATGGAAAAGCTGAAAACCTGTTCCCGAGCCAATGAACTTGATCCAGATAGTCTGAGGTGGACCCCAATTTTAATTTCTAATGCTGCAGTTTCTGAAGAAGAGCGGGAAGCTGAAAAGGAGGTAATGATTGGTTGGTTTCATCATCCTAAGCTGTGTGACTTCAATCTTAACAGCTCTCTTAAGCTAAGAAAGTCATTAACATCATTGTCAAAGGCTTGGTTATATAGAGAAAGCTTGTGAAATGATATGGCACTAATTTATCCTAACTGAGGTTGCATGGTAAGATATGATAATTTTATTGAATTGAGTATGAAAAAATGAAACATTTATCATTGATCACAAAGCAGCATTCTTCACTACTGACAGTATGTAATCAGATCAGATTTGGTGCTGAGCTCCAAGGCTGCAATGTCAATCGATTCTTTGTGTTTATGAACTTGCTTAAAGTGCTCCGTGCCAGTGAGCATGTAATGTAGTGATAAAGGACTCAAATCAATTCGCTGCATCATTAATACTGCTAAATATCCCATGAAACCCAATCTCCTTTGATTTGTTATCCTAACTGATGCAAAGGGGTCCTGAGTTGATGCAGCTGGAATTTGCTGTGCTGGCTAAGTGTTCTAATCAGAGAAGAACCCACTTAGAGACCTCTGTCATTGATCCTTAGAGGCCTAACTGCACAGTTGCCCTCTCACCAGCCACCATTTTCACTCCCTCCCCTTTGCTCCCTCCCCAGGCTGAGCGACTAATGGAACAAGCTAGCTGCTGGGAAAAGGAAGAACAAGAAATTGTGTCATCTAGAGCCAACAGTAGGCAATCACCTGCAAAAGTACAATCGAAAAATAAATACTTGAATTCCCCGGAGAACCGGCCAGTAGCAGGGGATCGAGGGCAGCTGATGGAGTTATCTAAAGAGAGCAGTGAGGAAGAGGAAGAAGAAGAGGAAGAAGAGGAAGATGACGAGGAGGACGACGACGAAGAAGAGGAAGAAGAGGAGGAAGAAGAAAATATTCTAAGCTCTCCCCCACGATTGACTAAACCACAGTCGGTTGTCATAAAGAGAAAGGTATATGTCTGTTAGATTCTCCATTGTTTTCTATCAGATCTTACTTGGCAGGGTCAGTGTTCCATCTCTTAATATTTGTTCTTTCTCTGTGCATTTATATGTACAAAATCCCACTGAACAGATAACATAATTTATTTTATGGCCATGATAGTGTTTACTGGTACTAATAGCAGGAAATCAGGGATGAGCCAGTTTCCTACTTTGGTAGTCACTGCCACCTGCTGGTCTGAGGGAGAAGAGTAAATGCAGTTTTGGGGACTGAAAGGGATGCCCCAGAGAGCACATAAACAAAACTACCCTTCAAGGCCTGAGACTGGAGCCAGGAGCCCAGGTCACATGAATCAGGAGCTAGAGCCAGATGAACACCCAAAATCCCAAGCTGAGTTCTCCTACTAGTGTTTCTTTCTGTTGTTCCTGACATAAACTTGGGGGGCGGGGGTGGTATTTTTAGACCCTGATAATTTGCATTTGTGGCCAACTACTTATTATTGACCTGCCTCATATCTTCATCATCTGGTGGGTTTTCCAGATCATACCTCCAGTGATACAGAAAGGGAACAATCACTTTTATCTGTAGGTAATTGCTCTCCCAGATCCAATATCTTCATCTCCAGTATCTATCAGTGACAAATTTTCTGTTTGTGTATCCAAGACGTATAAAGTGCCATCATCCTTGTGTAGTTCTATCAGGAAACTTGCCAATTCTAATTCACAAACCAGAATTCTTTCAGCCAAGATTGGCAGTCAGAAGGAGGGGAGCTGTGGGAAGGTGACAGAAAGGAATATCCTATGAAGTAGATTTTAAGCTTCTCAACATTTTAACTTCTTTCTTTCTTCCTTTCTTTCTTTCTTTCTTTCTTTCTTTCTTTCTTTCTTTCTTGTCGGTTGTGGGGCTTAAACTCTGGGCTTGCGTGTTGTCCCTGCACTCTTCAGCTCAAGGTGAGCTCTCTACCGCTTGAGCCACAGCGCCACTTCTAGTTTTCCACTGGTTTATTGGAGATAAGAGTCTCACGGACTTTCCTGCCCAGGCTGGCTTTGAACCGGGATCCTCAGATCTCAGCCTCCTGAGTAGCTAGGATTACAGGCGTGAGCCACCGGTGCCTGGCTTCAACATTTTAATTTCTTATGACAAAAAATATATTCATTTATTAGAATACAGTTGAGAAATTTAAATCTACAGATATCAAAAGGCAGAATCTAGGCACAACATGGCCTATGGCCATATAAATGAATTCAATTAAAAAGCCAGAAGTAGAGCTATGGCTCAGGTGATAGAGCACTGGCATTGAGCAAAATGCACCTAGGTCCTAAGTTCAACCCCCAAGTAACTATTTCATATTGGCTGCTCTCATGTTTGGGAAAATACTATAATCTTAGGAAGAGCAAGTAAACTAGGAATTTTAATTTGACAAATGTTGAATTACAGATGTAGTTACATTATAGGATATGATTAATAAGCCTACATGTGTTCTTTAAGAATATTCAGACTGGGGCTGGGAAGGTGGCTCAGTGGTAGAATGCTTGCCTTGCATGCATGAGGCCCTGGGTTCGATTCTTCAGCACCACATAAGCAGAAAAAGCCAGAAGTGGCGCTGTGGCTCAAGTGGTAGAGGGCTAGCCTTGAGCTGAAGAGCTGAGGGACAGTGCCCAGGCCCAGAGTTCAGGCCCACAACCGACAAAAAAAAAAAAAAAAGAATATTCAGACTGGAAGTGACGCTGTAGTTTGAGTGGTAGAGCGCTAGCCTTGAGCTGAAGAGCTGAGGGACAGCGCTCAGGCCCAGAGTTCAAGGCCCACGACCGACAAAAAAGAAAAAAAAAGAATATTCAGACTTTGAAAATATATGATTCAGTAACTTTTGCACATAGTTTGCCTGGAAGTTGACTACTTCCACCCTCCCCCTATTTTCCACCCCCATCCTGGAATGGAATCCAAGGCCTTGTGTAAGATAGGTAAGCACTCTACTATTGTGCTACATCCCCACTCCTGGAGGCTGGCTTACCCAAATATTTTAAACCTTTATGTGGACAATATTTTCAACAAGCTACTTCTCTGTTATTACTATACTTGAATTTTGTATCATTAGACAGTTCTTCACTTGGGATATTTTAACATTGCAATAATGGAAAATTGTGCCAGCCTTCAGTATAAATGAGGGGAAAAAAAGTCTTTATATTTTACATAGAACAATTTTACATGTAACTTTTTGTCTTTCATTTCAAACTTTGGTAGAATCATCACATATTTTGCTTACATCATAGCAGTCACCAGTACATAACTGTTGACTTTCTAAGCAGTAGAGCAATATTTTATTCGATAAACACCTTTTTTTCTCCCTTTTCTGGTGTCCTATGAAATGGAACACATAGACCAGTCTTATATACCATTATATTTTCCATAATGCTTGCATATAGTGGAACAGTTATCAAGTAGTAAATGAATGACCTGATGGCTAATTAATTATTGGAACATTTATAGAAACACTAAGGTCCATAATAACCATAGAAAGTGCATCATGTGCAGAGGATATTGAAGCCAGATAGTGCCAATTAGAAAATATATGCTGGAAAAGCAAAGCTTAGCATTTAAGATATACACTCAAGTTGCTAGGATGTTCTCTCTCGAAGCATCTGCTTGAGTAAACAACTGTTTTATTTGGAAAACACTTGCCTGTGTAGTTGGGAACCCGAGAGGGATGTTAAACATCAAATGGAAGGTTAAGTACAAAGGCATTACAGAAGTCTTTATATGTAAGATTCTCAGGCACACATTCAGAATATGTTTGCTGTATATCGACTCAGCCATTTAATTTCTCATGAGCACTACATATTGTTTGGAATTAATTTCAGAGGCCTTTTGTACTAAAGAAGAAAAGAGGTCGTAAACGCAGGAGGATCAACAGCAGTGTAACAACCGAGACCATTTCTGAAACAACAGAAGTACTAAATGAGCCCTTTGACAACTCAGATGAGGAGAGGCCAATGCCACAGCTGGAGCCTACCTGTGAGATTGATGTAGAGGAGGATGGCAGGAGGCCAGTCCTGAGAAAAGCATTCCAACATCAGCCTGGGAAGAAAAGACAAACAGAAGAAGAGGAAAGAAAAGACAATCATTGTTTTAAGAATGCTGACCCTTATAGAAGTAAGTAGAGGGTTATTGCCGCATAAAGTATTGTGGGAGAATGATATTGTACCCTGGGTATAACAAAATCAAGCCTGGTCCTTTAATTTGTGTACATGAACACACATACAAATAACACTAACATACCACAGTGAGAGATTTCATGTGTGTGGAAGTAGAACTTATTTCTGCTTCTAAGTTACCTTCTCGGGCTGCCTAAAGATAAATTATCACTGCCTTCTTTTCTACTTTGTGATGTTCACCTTTTAGAAATTCTTTGGGACCATATTATACCTGATTCCTTACAGCATCTTCACCTTAAAAGTAATTATCAGAGCCAGGAGAAGGTGGCTCAGGCCTGTTTACTACACAGGCAGACTCTAGTCCAGGTCCACCTGGACAGAAAGTTCACAAGATCCTATCTCAAAACTAACCAGAGCACAAAGGGCTAGAAATGAGTAAAGCAGTAGAATACTTGCCTAGCAAGGGCAAAGCCCAAGTTCAGACCATCATCATCATCAGAAACTCATCTTCAGAGTTGTGCTATCTCTACAAAAGCTGGCTAGGACTAGTAATATTAGAATAAGAATATACATTCTAGAGCTGTTAGAATTGCTATTACCTGCTGTTGTGAATAGAAAGGGAACAGTTTTAACATCTTAGATGACTCTTAACTCACGCCAGGTACTTGGCACCTCTGAAGAAGCATTAGATATCACATAAGCATTCTTTTCAGCTAAACTGAATGCTCATAGGTGTATGTGTAATTCTTTTATTATGCAAATGAACTAGAGCTTACCTTGTTAGGCAGATTGGATTAGAAATCACTATATTTGGGGGGGAAAGGGTATCTTTTCCATGATTATTTGTATTCTCCAAAAGAGTGTTTCCAATAAGTGTGCTTTATAAAGCACTACTCTTTTACATTGACTGCAGTTTCCAGTCGATTAGTGTGGTCTTTAATCTTCTGAAGTTAACACTTTGATGTGTTATATGTATATACTTATTCCTATGTTTGCTTGCTAATGTTTATATAAAAAAATTTCTTTATATTTACTTGTAGATAGAGGTACATAAATATCAGGTTAATGGACCTGAAATAAAGATTACAGTTAGAGGTTATTTCTAATTGTCTTTATAGTTCAGATCTTACCTTTGAACAATACACTGATCCACAAAACAGTGTGGACAGACTTAGTGATAAAAAAGGACATCTGTATTTTAAGTGTTCAGTCATTTCATAGTGATTACACTGTACACTGTGTCATGCAAAAGTGACAATCTGAAGAAAAAGGATAATTACGGATGCACTAGTGTTTGTGTATTTGTTTGTTTATTCATGTTTCAGAGGTATGCAGTTTACTTTTATGCCAGAGAAATATCCAAATCAAAGTAAATAATGTCATTGAGATTATTTAAAACAGCAAATGCCCACAGACAGAAGGTCACTCACTGCCTCAGGGTGGTGTAGGAGTTGGCCTTCTAGTTAATTTCCCAATGCACTGATGATTTAAATATATCTAGCATTAATCCTTTGCCCTTAGAAATGTTCACATCAGTGTTTTTTTATATTGTGGAACTCCATGCTCCTTCTATATATGTTAAATTCAAATATTGTCCCAGGCATAGGGTACTTAATGTGGTTTATGTTTTAATACTCTTCTAGATTAGTCTTGATAATCTTTACTATCAACTCTAAAATTGCTAAATTGAAAGCAGTGTTGGCTAATTAGAGGAAAGAATTCAAGATGTCCATGGTTATGATTTCTAAACTTTACTTTTCTTCCTTCCCCTATCTGTCTCTTCACCAAGACAATATGGATGATACTGCAAATAACTTGAAAGAAGGCAGCAAAGACAATCCTGAACCTCTAAAGTGCAAACAAGTATGGCCAAAAGGAACAAAGCGTGGTCTCTCTAAGTGGAGGCAAAACAAAGAGAGGAAGACTGGATTTAAACTGAATTTATACACCCCGCCAGAAACTCCCATGGAGCCTGATGACCCAGGAACAGTGGAGGAACAGAAGGAGATTTCAGAAGACAAAATCAGTTCTACTCCCGTGGAGACTGAGCAGGAGGTGAAGGAGACTGTGGAACCCCTGCTGCCTCGGGATGCAAGCCGAAGGGAGGAAACAAATGAGCCAGAAAGTCCAAATAAATCACCAGGTGAAAAGGAGGAGGAAGATCTTCTCAAACCTGAGGAGGAGGAGGAGGAGGAGGAACAAGAGGAGGAGGAGGAGGAAGAGGAGGAGGAGGAGGAGGAGGAAGGAGGAGGAGGAACTGTAGAAAAAGACCAGGATGGTGCTAAAAGTGAAGAAAAAGAGGAACCAGAGATTTCCACAGACAAAGAAGACCCTGTGCACTTGGATGATCATGAAGAGGAGGAGGAGGAAGATGAAGAACCATCTCACAATGAGGATCACGATGCAGATGATGAAGATGACAGTCACATGGAATCTGCAGGAGTGGACAAGGAAGATCTCCCAAGAGAAGCCTTCAAAGAAGTGCTGGAAAACCAGGAGGCTTTTTTAGACCTTAGTGTTCAGCCTAGTCATTCGAGCCCAGAGGTCTTGATGGACTGTGGCGTTGACATTGCAGCTTCATGTAACAGTGAGCCAAAGGAGCTTGCCCCGAACACTGAAAATGCAGCCGAGTCTGATGAGGAGCCTCCAGAGGAACAGGCCCAGAAGCAAGACCAAAAGAACAGTGACAATGCAGAATCTGAGTTCAAGGAGGGAAACACAGCCACCACAGAAATTGACTCAGAGACCGTGCAGGCAGTTCAGTCTCTGACCCAGGAAAACAGGGAACAGGATGACACCTTTCAGGATTGTGCAGAGACTCAAGAGGCCTGTAGAAGCCTACAGAACTACACTCATGCAGACCAAAGTCCACAAATCGCCACCCAGCTGGATGATTGCCAACAATCAGACCATAGCAGCCCAGTTTCATCTGTCCATTCCCATCCTGGCCAGTCAGTCCGTTCTGTCAGCAGCCCCAGTGTCCCTGCCCTGGAGAGCAGCTATGCCCAAATCAGCCCAGATCAGAGTGCCATCTCAGTGCCATCTTTGCAGAACATGGAAACCAGCCCAATGATGGATGTTCCATCAGTTTCAGATCACTCACAACAAGTGGTAGACAGTGGATTTAGTGACCTGGGCAGTATTGAGAGTACAACAGAGAACTACGAAAACCCAAGCAGCTATGATTCTACTATGGGTGGCAGCATTTGTGGAAATGGCTCTTCACAGAACAGCTGCTCCTATAGCAACCTCACCTCTAGCAATCTTACACAGAGCAGCTGTGCCGTCACCCAGCAGATGTCCAACATGAGTGGGAGCTGCAGCATGCTGCAGCAGACAAGCATCAGCTCTCCCCCAACCTGCAGTGTCAAGTCTCCCCAAGGCTGTGTGGTAGAGAGGCCTCCCAGCAGCAGCCAGCAGCTGGCTCAGTGCAGCATGGCTGCTAACTTCACCCCGCCCATGCAGCTGGCCGACATCCCCGAGGCGGGCAATGCCAACATTGGCTTATATGAGCGAATGGGTCAAAGTGATTTTGGGGCCGGGCACTACCCACAGCCATCCGCCACCTTCAGCCTTGCCAAACTGCAGCAGTTAACTAATACACTTATTGATCATTCATTGCCTTACAGCCATTCCGCTGCTGTGACTTCCTATGCAAACAGTGCCTCTTTGTCCACACCATTAAGTAACACAGGGCTTGTTCAGCTTTCTCAGTCTCCACACTCTGTCCCAGGTGGACCTCAAGCACAAGCTACCATGACCCCACCCCCTAACCTGACTCCTCCTCCAATGAATCTGCCACCGCCTCTTTTGCAGCGGAACATGGCTGCATCAAATCTTGGCATCTCCCACAGCCAAAGACTGCAAACCCAGATTGCCAGCAAGGGCCATGTCTCCATGAGAACCAAGTCGGCATCTCTGTCACCAGCAGCTGCCACCCATCAGTCACAGATCTATGGGCGCTCCCAGACGGTAGCCATGCAGGGTCCTGCACGGACTTTAACAATGCAAAGAGGCATGAACATGAGTGTGAACCTGATGCCAGCCCCAGCCTACAATGTCAATTCTGTGAACGTGAACATGAATACCCTCAATGCCATGAATGGGTACAGCATGTCCCAGCCCATGATGAACAGTGGCTACCACAGCAACCACGGCTACATGAACCAAACGCCCCAGTACCCTATGCAGATGCAAATGGGCATGATGGGAACCCAGCCATACGCCCAGCAGCCAATGCAGACCCCACCCCACAGTAACATGATGTATACAGCCCCCAGCCATCACGGCTACATGAACACGGGCATGTCCAAGCAATCTCTCAATGGGTCCTACATGAGAAGGTAGACATCTTAGGCAGTCCGCCAAACCCACTGGGCGTCACTATTGGACTGATCTGCACAAATACCTTTGAAGAGTACGATTTCAAAACCAGCAATTGGTGTGAATGCAAAAACATTTGTTGGCACCATTTATTTAAAAAAAAAAAAAGCTGTATGCAGCAGAAAGCCTTATAAAAGTTGTTTTTCTTTTTTTTTTTCCTCTCTCTCTTTCCTTTTCTTTTTTGGTACCTTTGTTTCTGTTACTTTTATATAAAATTCTCTGCAAAAGAAGGCCTCTCCTTGGACTACAAGTTGGAGCAGCCACTTGTGCCTGCCCCGATTAAACAATATGGATATCAAGCCCCAAATTATCTGTTTTAATATTGAGCCTAGAGCTTTTGTTTTTCTCTCCCTGTCCACTCCATGTAAATGCCTTTAGCATTTCAGTTATTGTATATTTTGTTTAAGGAGACACTTCAGCATGCCGCTAATGTCTTTGTTAGTGACAGTGCATTTTGTAGTACTGTACAAGTGTTGTGCTAACAGTAAGCCATTTCTTAAGTTTTTTGCCTTGATTAGGGTGCCCTAATTTGAGGGTTTTAAAAAAAACTATATTTTTGTTAATTATAAAACTGTAAAGAGCTATAAAAGCTGTTCCCATTTGGTTAGTCAAAAGGGTTTATTGCTAAATATTTGGTGTAACGTTGAGACCCTTTTCCATTTTGGTGACAGATTTCTTTGGGAAAAAGGCAGCTTTCTGTTTTATAAATGCAGACTTCTGTTTATTGAATGAAGCATATCTCAGTGTTTATCTGTCAGGTTTTGAAACATTTCATATATGTCCAAATACTTGGCAGGATTTAAAAAAATAGTGAATTTGGTGTAAAGTTGCTATTTTATGGAAATGCCTCTAACTTTACATTTTCATTCCATCTGTAGATTTTTCTATCTTTATAAAATATTGGAGTTATTTTTTAAGGAAAAATAGAGAAGTAGCTTGTGAATAGCTCAACTAAGCTTACAAATCGCATGTACAAAAGCAAAAAAAGTTATTTGTGTCTGTTTATATTGCTTCCTTTTTGTAGCCTTTGTACCTGTACAGGGTGACAGTAAGGGCCAAGCAGGAGAGGCGTAATCCTTGTATAAAATAGGAGCCAGCGACACTCTTGTATTTATCTGTTCTCTTTTTAGTCAGTTACTTCAAAAAAAAAAAAAACCAACAAAAACAAAAAAAAGCTGTACATTTTAACATAAAATAAATTATGATGAGCCATTTTTAGCCTCTGTGTCCTGTCATATTATGATTGATAGAGAATGACCAATCGAACTGTATCATGTGTGTCACATCTCAGAACACATACACATTTGGGGAAAATAAATTTAGTGTAAATTGGACTTACAAGGTTTTCTGATTTGTTTCTGACTTTGGGGAAGGGGTTGGCAATAATTAAGAGTAATATCTAATAAACCATCACATATACCAAATACCTATTTAATAAATTAATTTATAATGGATTTTAATGCTTTTCATGAAAGTTTATTTTATGCTAGTGCATACTTTCTGTATGCCAATCATTGTCTTTAAAATAAAGCGATTTTTTTTCTTTTTGACTTCTATCTTCATTTGCAAAGAGATCCCACACAGACAGCTACCTCATTATTCTATACCTGTACCATGGTAGTAAACTTTGTTTTTATAAAGATTAATATGAAATAACACCCAGTTTGGGATTGTATGTTTGAAAGTTTATTCCCTTTCAAAAGGTATGATCTGGGTCCTGGTGGCTCACACCAATAATTCTAGCTACTCAGGAGACTAAGAGCTGAGGGTCACCATTCGAAGTCAGCCAGGGCAGGAAAGTCTGTGAGACTCTTATCCCTAATTAACCATCAAAAAGCCAGAAATGGGGTGTTGGGAGGCATGATGCAGGTGGTAGGTTGACTGCCAATGAGTGGAATGTATCAGATATAGAGCTCCAATCCTGGTCTCAGACCAGAAAACGCCAGAAGTGGAGCTGTGTCTCAAGAGGTAGAGTGCCAGCCTTAAAACACAAAAGCTAAGGGACAGCATTTGAGTGCTGTCAGGACACTTAATACTCGACTGGTATTTTTTTAAAAAAGGAGTGAATGACTGTATGTTTTCTTTAGAGCCTAAAGGTTTTGTTTTTTGTTTGTTTTTCTGGCGGTGGTGGCACTGAACTTTGGGCCCTGGGCGCTGTCCCTAAGCTCTTTAGCTCAAGGCTAACGCTCTACCACTTGAGCCACAGTGCCACTTCCAGCCTTTTTTGCTCATGTGGTGTTGAGGAATTGAACCCAGGGCCTCATGCATGCAATCTATTTTTAAGTGCGTGTTCAGACATTTTGTAGCATTCAAAGAATGTCAAGAGTTAAGACATTCTTGATTCAAGCAGCAAGTTTAGAAATGAGTGCTTAGCACCTCTGTGAATCAGTCACACGTAACTCAAAGTGTCCAAACATGGATACTACTCTTAGTGTGGCACAAATACTTAGTTGTACACAGCAGAGGCAAAGACCTTGAAGTGGGCTCCAAATTAAAAGGGCAAGAGAGTGTACAGAACAGAAGGCCCCTGGGAAGGGAAGATACATGGCAAAGTTTAGCCTTGTGTTCTCACCCCTTGTTCTTTTTTTCCACAGCTACAAGTGCAGTGAGGTTAGTACTCACGTTTTACCTTTGAGCCTCTTGTTCCTTCACCTGCAATTTAACTGTAGAGACAGAGCATCCAAGACACTGCTGCAAGGGCCAAGCAATGGCAAAGGCAGAGCAGAATTCCATGCTGATGGGAAAGGAGATCCGCAGTTCATCTTCCAAGTGGCAAGTGATTGGGTGCTGCTGGTAGGAGTCAGGAGAGGCCAGATCTGCCGGCCCCTGAGCAACACATCATACATCCCAGACACCAGATGATAGGCACACACAACAGTCCCCACCTCATATAGTTAATCTATGGAGGCTGAGACTTACCTCCCTTCCCTTTGGCAAGGGTCTACTAATCACACCCTGTTTGCCTTGAGGGTGCTTAGGGACTAGTACCAGTCACTGCCTCAAACCTGCCAGACCAGAATCAGAGCCTTGGGTGTGGGGCGGGGGTAGGGGTGCAGGGGGAGTGTCTGGTGTCTCACGGGCCTTAATAGCTCACCTGGAGTCTGCCTAAGTGTGCTGGCATCAGCTCTTCATCAGCATGAAGCTTTAGAAATCATGGCAACATTGCCACAAAGTGTTTTGGGGACCAGTCTTCCCATCCCTCATGATGGGAAATGGAGCAGTTGCTTGCAATTTACAGATCAAGATATGCAGGCACAAAGCTGACTTGCGTGCCCAAACCCACCCAGGTGAAATTAGTAAGCTGAAACTGACCCAGGTGTCTCCAAATCACAGCTTTTTCCTAAAGCATTATACTTAGTGAAAAGACTGTAACTTGTCACCTATTTGACTTAAAGGCTAGGTAATGAGCATATGATGCTGTAAAAACTTTAGTGCAGCCTGTGCTGGTGGTTCATGCTTGTAATCCTAGTTAGGAGGCTGACCCCAGCAGAAAATTCTTTTTTTGGGGGGGGGGTCCGGTTGTGGGGCCTGAACTCTGGGCCTGGGCGCTGTCCCTCAGTTCTTCAGCTCAAGGCTAACGCTCTACCACTTCCGGCTTTTTTCTTCTTATGTGGTGCTGAGAAATCGAACCCAGGGCCTCATGCATGCAAGGCAAGCGCTCACCACTGAGCCACCTTCCCAGCCCACCCAGCAGAAAATTCTTGAGACTCCTCCAATTAACCAGCAAAAAAGCCAACCTGGAGGCATGGCTCAAGTGGTACAGTACCAGCCATGTGCTGATTGGCAAATAATTTCTAACTAATACTCTGTTGCAAAGCAAGCCTAAGGTCTTAAGATACCCAAACTTCAAGCACTGTTGTATTAGGGAGCAGTGTCTTCAACTTGTCTTTATCTAGGCTTTCGTAATTCCTTCTTCATTCCCTTCCTCGAATTTCCTTTACCCAGGCCTGTCTCTACATACTCATATTGAGCAGTCCTTGGACCTAGACACATCACATCTCCTCAAATAGTGAGCCAATGTGGTTCCACCTCTCTATAGGTAACACCTAAACTTTTTTGTTGTTGTTGGTCATGGGGCCTGAACTCTGGGCCTGGGTGCTGTCCCTCAGCTCTTCACCTCAAGGCTAGTGCTCTACCACTTGAGCCACAGTGCCACTTCTGGCTTTTACTGCTTATGTGGTGCTGAGGAATCGAACCCAGGGCCTCATGCATGCAAGGCAAGTGCTCTACCACTGAGCCACCTTCCCAGCCCAACACCTAAACTTTTATCCTCAGTAGTGAACATTCCTCCAAGCTCTAGATTTCAGGTCAAATGACCTGGGACACCTATTTGTGTCTCATGAGCATGACTTACTGAAGTGGTGATTTCCAGTTTTTTGTTTTTTGTTTTGGGTCCAGTCATGGGGCCTGAACTCTGGGCCTGGGTGCTGTCCCTCAGCTCTTCAGCTCAAGGCTAGCGCTCTACCACTTGAGCCACAGCGCCACTTCCGGCTTTTTTCTTTTTGCTTATGTGTACTGAGGAATCGAACCCAGGGCCTCATGCATGCAAGGCAAGCGCTCTACCACTGAGCCACCTTCCCAGCCCCATGATTTCCAGTTCTTCATCCTTGCCCTGGTCAACACAATTCCAGTGTTAGGGCATCACTAAACCATTATCTTTGATTTCTCCTCCCACTCTTAGAAGACCCTTTCTAATTTCCCACTTCTGTAATTCCAAAATTACTTGAATATTAATCCCCTGGTACTGTCTCTCTCTGGGCCACCTTTCCCTTTCCTGTTAATAGCCAATAATAGCCTTGCTCCTTCTTAACTCCCTAATACCTATTCTCCATCCTTTCCAAAGTGAATTTGATTTCTGGAGTGAACTTGGAACAGCTCACATTGTTCCCCTTGGGTCTCTTAACCCATATCCTCCTATTCCCCTCACCTGACATGCATTCCCTCAGCCTAGCAACTCTCCTCAATTGGAAGGAGAATTTCTTCAGGTCAAAGCCCATCTTCTTGGAGAAGTCATCCTCTACCACCCCATCCATCATGGGTTTATCCCTCTCATCCACTCTCCACCTTGGGACCTATTTCCCTCATTATTTATTACAATCTGTAAATTTATTTTTGTGCCAGTCCTAGGGCTTGAACTCAGGGCTTGGACACTGTCCTTAAGCTGCCTGTGCTTAAGGCTAGTGTTCTACCACTTGAGTCACAGAGCTCCACTTCCAGCTTTTGAGTGGTTAATTGGAGATGAGTCTCATAGACTTTCCTCCCCAGGCTGGCTTTAAACTGTGATCTTCAGACCTCAACCCCTTCAGTAGCTAGGATTATAGGTGTGAGCCACAGTCCCTGCCACAATCTATATTTTTGTTTTGAATTTTGGCTTCCTAACCCAGTGTTTGGCATATGATGAATCTCAATAAATAAGTGTTAACTCAATAAATACTGAAGACATGAAATAGTACTGCAAAACTTTGTTCCTTCACAGGAAGTGTCCAGACCTCCAACATTTATTCTTTGCTTCTGCTGTCCTCAGCTCCACTCAGCCTCACAAAGATATGGCATCCTGGAAGGAATGCAGAGACAGAGGCTCAAGAAAATGCCAGTGGTGAGCCTATACATGTTCTTTCTATGCATAAATTCATTTAGACGTAAGTACCTTATTAAAATAGAAATATAGGCTTATCTGGACATAAAACAGATTGAACCTAAGAGATAATGAAGTTCACAGGAACCATCATGATGCCATGATGAGAAGGCCTAGGGAGGGACCACTCATCTCAGGTCCCTGTAAGCACTTCTTTCCCAAGAGCCTATGCATGGCTTCCATTACAACCAGATCTGAGTCATTAAGCAATTCCATCTTTGGTCATTTTGCCCCTACCATGTTCTTTTCCTCACAACCACAAGAGTTGACCACAATGGGTAGATCTGTCTAGCTTAATACTGTCCCAATTTTCAGTGGCCACTATATTTGCATTTTAGTTTTGCCGCTATGTATGGTGTATGGGTATGTGTGGGTATGCCAGTACTGGGGCTTAAACTCAGGGCCTGGGCACTGTCCCTGTTCTCTCGTGCTCAAGTCTAGTGCTCTACCACTTGAGACACAGTTCCACTTCTGGCTTTTTGGTGCTTAATTGGATATAAAAGTCTTGGGACTTTCCTGCCTGAGCTGGCTTTGAACCATGATTTTCTATCTCAGCCTCCTGAGTAACTAGGATTACAGGCATGAGCCCCATGGCACCCAGCTTCTTACCACAAAGGAAGTCTCAGGTAGCATATACCACTATGAGGACCCAGACTCCTTCTGGGCAGGGGTCCCTCCCAAAGCATACTCAGGGAAATCCTAGGATACCAGGCCCAGGCTCAAGGACCCTGGCCACAGGTCCTCTCTTCAGCATAAAAGCAAGGCAGCTACCAGAGTTCACAGCTGCTAGGCCATACTCTATCCTCCCTACCCCAAGAATGAACAACCTAACTGGAGAGCTAGGTCCTTTGCATGGCGCCTGCTGGCCTTGAGCACTCTCTTCTCTGGGCAGCCTCCAATTCCAGTCTCTGGCTATTACATCTCTATCAGCTGTATCCCTCTGGGTTCTGTCTGGTTCAGGTTTCTCCTTTCCTGCTTCCTGCTGCTGTTTTCTCAAGAGTGAAAAGCATACCCTCAAGGCAATCAGCTTAGCTCTCACGGAGAACTTACACCTGAGCTCACCTGGCTGTTCTACCTTCTCATTCCACAGCAAAAAAAACATTTACAAACAAGCCAACTTGGCCTTGCTCTAACTAGGACCAAAATGAAAGGATTTTTCTAAGTCTCCTGAAAACTGTCTCCCCTTTCTCTCTCCTGTCTCTCTCTCTCTCTCTCTCTCTCTCTCTCTCTCTCTCTCTTTCCTAAAAGTTTAAAGTCACAGTCTTACTGAACCAAACAATTATCTGGGTAGTGGCAGCCTGAGAGAGGGTGCACAAGAGCCCAAGGTCCCTAAGAAAGGTAAGAAGCCAAGGGCAGAGACTTCCAGGCTCATCTCCCACTCTTGCCAGCTAAGCAATATCTATGTATGGAGACCCCCCACTTAGGGGGTACCCAAGAATTCCCCCTCCCTAGTAAGCTATAAAAGCTCTCCTATAACAGCTTGCCCAAGTGCTATTTTTTAAATTATTTTTATAAGACTGTAGCTTTCAGACAGCTCCAAACGTTTAATCACAACACAATGTCCACATTTTAAAAAAAAATCTTTCTGTTTCCTCCATCTTTAAAAGAAAAAAATACAGACTTTGTGCACAATGTCATGCTCATCTGCCACCAGTTCTGTCTGGAGCCCTTCTCACCCATGGCAACAGGGAATCCTCCTGGTTCCCCATATACACAGAGAAATTGAATAAAATTGTTTGGGAAAAAAATCAGACTTAGATTTCACTGTTCTTTGTCTTGAGGTGAGTGAAGTCAAAGGCCTGTCATGTTCAGCCCTCCCCTCTCTACCCAGTGTCCCTGTTTGGCCCTAAGGAGGCCTTACAGCTTCAGCTTGCTGTCCTCCAGCTGAGTCTGTCGCCTCTCCTCCACCAGCTGCTGGTCCAACTCTCGAAGCTGCTTCAGAAATCCCCTGTTTGGTAGGACACAGCGGTTCTTGGCCACTTGTTGGATGGCGTCCACCAGAGTCATGTTCTTGTAGATCATCAGGTAGGCCAAGACAAGGGTTGCTGACCTGCTGCGGCCCATGGCACAGTGAACCAGGATCTTACCTGCAGATGGAATAGAGGGAAGAAAACCCACGCAAGGGGCAGTGGCTTGGCTGGGAAGGACTTGTCCCAGGCCACAAACAACCTCACTCAAGCTTGGATCACTGGATTCTCTCCCACAGCCTAACTCTGGGCCATAGCTCCTTGCTCATTTCTATAATGGGTATCTTAATGCCATCCCCTTCTTAGGGATACTGTGAAGGTGATTGTATGCGGTGCATGTGTGCATTATTTGGCATATTAAAGGCTCAGTGGTGGCTCATGCCTGTAATTCTAGCTACTCACAAGGCTTAGATCTAAGGCTCAAAGTTCAAGGCAGCCCAGGCAGGAAAGTCTCAGGATCTCTTATTTACGTTTAATTAACGGAAAGCCAGAAAATGGAGGTATGGTCCATGTGGTAGAGTGCCAGCCTTGAGTGAATAAGCTAAGTAAGTGTTCAAGGCCCTGAGCTGAATCCCCAATACTGGCACACATGTGCAGCATGTGCACACAAACTTTTTTTTTTTAAACAGATTCTTTCATGTGTCCCAAGCTTGCCTCAAACTCTCAATCCTGCCTCAGTCTCCCAGGTGTGGGGATCACAGGCATACAACAACCACATCAGTCAGAAAAAAAAGGATTTTAATGTAACAGAATATGAAGCTCATTAATATGGCTTCAGAGTCCACATCACAGTGGCCTTTAAGAAGCTATCATTTGTCAAGTTTTCATGTAGCATCCTAAAAGAATGTCCACAATGATCTGGAAAGGCTACCAAAATATTCCTTCCTTTCTGCCTTTTTTCAAGCTTCATTAACATCATCTCTGCTTCACAGATGTGAATAGGCTCAAGCGGGGAAAAGCCTTACCAGAGGTCATTCACAAAGGTGATGCCAAGACAAAAGATAATTTGAGATCCTGTTGTGTGCTAGCCACGGCCAATGTACTCTGGGCACAGGAGAAAGCAGAGATTTGGCTTTTTGTCCAACCCACTACTTTCTCTCCCCTCCCCCTGCACCTGCACGACGGTTCTCTGCTCTGGCTGGTGGGATACCCCTGCTGGGACAGCTTAAACTGTGTGGCCACAGTGCTGCTCAGTCTAAGCCCTAGGGAGCCAAGTGACAAGACACACTTAGACACCAAGGGGATAACAAAGGGAGCATCAGGGAGAGGAAAGGAGCTGTCTGCAAGGGCTTGGCCTTTTGTGCCCTCTTACTCCACCCTCTCCTCCTGGGACCACACCCACACCGAAGTCAAGGCAGCAGTTAACTCTTCATCTTAACACAATTGGGACAAGCTAACAGGCCTTCACTTGGGCCTCACATCCCACTCACTCTGTTGCTGGGCTCTCAAGAATGCAGCCAAGGCCTTTCCTTCCTTCACAAAGGAAAGGACTGGAAGCAGGCCCCCTTCTTGACTGCTTTATAAATTTGGGGGGACACTGGTCCCATGTTTTCAACCAGTAGGATGTGCTCCTGGAATGTGGATGGGTCCAGGACATTCTAATCCGTACGGACTGTTCTAGAGGCTGGCTGGCCCCTGGCCAGCTCTGCTGATAAATAAAGCGTTTCTTCCTCTCCCAGCAAAATGGGTAATTCTTTCTGTCATGATTCAGTACTTGAACCAGATGAAAGCTGTAGTTCATTAAGCCTTTGGAAGCTTGAAGTCTGTTATGTGGGAGGAGGGGAAGGGGAGAGAGAAAGAAAGGAAGATGAGGAGGTTGGGGGAAGTGGAGGGGGGACCTTCAGTTCTGGCAGGAGCTCCTGGAGCTGAGTTTGGTTTTCATTAATGCTGTCAGACCTGTGAGTGAGGTTGGCCGCCCTAGGGCAAAAGCCTGCTGTTCTCTGGGGGCCTCTGGTACTGGTTGGGCCCCTGGGCTTCCTTCCCCTCCCCACCCTCCTGGGCCTTTCGCCAGAACCTCAGCACCCTATTCCCCCCTGGCTCTGTAGCTCTGCCAAGCACTACTCTTTGGACTGTACTGTCAGGTCATAGGAAATAATCTCTGGGGAGTTGGGGAGGTCCCAGCACAGACCACACAGAGAGGCCACAAGGCTCAGTGAATTAGAAACTAGCCATGGTAGGGCCTGAGCAAAGGGAACATTCAGAGCTGGCTTTTAAACTGTTTTGTGGATGTAGAGGTGTGTCTCAAGTGGTAGAGCACCAGCCGTGAGGAAAAAAAGCCAAGGGACACCACCCTAGGGCCCTGCGATGAGACTCCAGTACACACACACACACACACACACACACACACACACACAGGAGAATAAGTTAAAAAAAAAAAAACTGTTCTGTGCAACCCCAGAAAACACAGAACGACAAAACTCACACCTAAAGAATAGGTGGTATCTGGTTGCTGGCTCATATACCTATAATCCTAGCCATTCAAGAGGCTAAGATCTGAGGATCATGGTTCAAAGCCAGTGGGGACAGGAAAGCCTGTAAGACTCTTATCTCCAATTAACCACCAGAAAACTGGAAGTGATGCTGTGGCTCAAAGTTGTAGAGAGCCTTGAGCAAAAAAGCTCAGTGACAGCACCCAAGGCCCTGAGTTCAAGTTCCACAACTGACCAAAAAAAAAGTGTCTTCCCACCTGCACATCTCAGCACTTTGAGACATGGCCTCTCCGTATAGCCTAGGCTGGCCTAAAACTAGAGATCCTCTTGCCTCTTCTTCCTGCATGCTAGGATTAAAGGCAGGAGAAGCTACACCCAGCCACCAGACACTTTATGTATTTTGTCATAGTCAATTTTCAACTCCCCAGTGACATCAACAAAATTGTCCCTGTTGTACAGATGAGTTAGCTAAAATGCTTAGAAGCCACTTATCCAAACCACACAGCCAGCAGATCCGTGGCCCAAGCCCAAGCAGTGAGTCAACAGAAACTAGGCTCTGCTCTGCCAGTGTTCATACCAGACAAAAGTTTTACAAAATAATATATACCTTTGCCTCATGCAATAGGTACTAGTAGTTATCTTTTCCTATTCTTTTTTTTCCCAAAGAAATATTTGTCACACCTACCAAATTGACTTACAAACCACTAATCTCTATCTGAAAAATGCTGCACTCAATGAAATCTTTTCTTCTGCCATTTTCCAAAAAGTGAGTTTCCATATTTTATGAGTACCCAAGTTTGAATCTTTACTGCTTACAATGATCATTCAAATCAGACCTGTCAGTCAGCTCTTCACCACCAATATTACCCTGGTCCCTGGCCAGGTGTGTATCTTTAACATGTACCTCACTCCTTAGATTTAGGAGGGGGTACCCTTTTTAGCCATCCACTCACTGCTTTGGAACAGAGTTCCTACTCCTTCCAAAACTGTTCTGGAAATGTAATGGTCCTCAGGAAAAGGAATAATGTGTATATGGACTCCTGGGTTTTGTGTGCAACAGTACCATAAGGGACTCTCAAAATGCTTAGTGAATTTGGTACTGGTGGCTCAAGCCTGTAATCCTAGCTAGCTACACAGAAAACTGAGATCCAGACTGAAGTTCTGGGACAGCTTGAGCAGAAAAATCCCATGAGACTCCCTTTTCAAAATAATGAGCAACAAGCCAGGTTGGAGGCATGATTCAAGTGGTAGAACACCAGCCAAGCAAGCAAGCCAAGTGAATGCAAGGCTTTCATTCAAACTCTCAGTATTGGTCAAAACAAAACAAAAAACTGACAAAAGCATAGTATTCATTTCAAGTTGATCAACTGTTTTAAATTTTTAAAAAAGGATTCTGGTGATACTGACATGAAGTTTTCAGAAAGCCCTGTGACATCTGACCTGAAGTTTCCTAGATTTCATTACACTGAAACCACACTAATTCAGCAGGAGGAGGCCCCAGCAGGAGCAGTAAAGGCATGCACAGCAAGTTCTCTGATAAAGAAGTATGAGTTCAGTTGTGCCAGATCCTACAGCCAGTTGGCATGCCTTGCCTTCTAGGATATTTGGTGACCTCATACAGCTTAGTTACCAGATGCTCAAAATAGGGATGCTTACATGAGGACTGAGTAAAGGGAGGAACCCCTGACAAGTGGGTGTCATAACCATATTGCCTCTGTTAGATCTGCAACACTTGGTTTCTCTAGGCCAGAACAGCAGATTCAGTTAACACTCAGAATTTTCCCCCTAGTGTAAGTGAGGCTTCTTAGGAAGTTCTTGAAAGGTTAAACCAACATAGTATAGGGGAAGGCTCCATAGCACTGCAAGGGATGTTTTTCATAAAGATGCCAGGTGTGACTTTGTGCATGTCTGAGAGTCTAGCACTCAGGAGGCTGAGATAGGAGGATCTTGGGTTCCAAAGCCAGCCTAGGCTATGAAGCAAGGCTCTGTCTCAAAACAAATTAACAACATGAACACATATACATGGCCCTAGGTTCAATCTTCAGCACCACAATAAAATAAAATAAGTAAAAATAATAAGAAGGAACCATGATGGGTTGTGTGAATTAGAACAGGTCTGGTAGAAACTACCCAATAAAGGACAGGAAAGGCAGGGAGAGGCAGGAAAGAGGCCTGCCTTCAGGCCAGCCTGACCATCAACATCTCTTACATCAAGAGTATAATAAGAAATCTACGACTGGGTCTGACTCTGAAATGCCACAGTAATGTTCCTTGCTTTTCCAGTGCATGCCTAGACATAAACAGGCTACATACTGCCTGTGGCAGGCGGGCCAAACACCTGTTATCCACTTTGCCTAGAGTCGATGGCAATGCTGTCTCTGAGCTAATCAACATTCTGTTTTGTTACCCGCTCACTCTGGGCACAGGTGACAAGTTGATAGCCATTGAGTCGTTTTTTGTTTTTGTTTCTGCCCTTTATAGTACTTTAAGAAATTTCATTTTGTTGCCAATACATAAAATATGGGTGATTTCTCCAATGTGAAATCCACATTGGAGGCTTTTCCTGGAAAATCCAAAGTTCTACCACAGTTTTACAGATTCTCATAAGAACCCCTGGCTTGCAGCTGAGCAGCAGCTGACACCTTACATGTAGCTGGCTTCGTATGCTATGCTGTGCCTGGTGTAAGCATTGGTGTTTGAAACACTGGCTTGAGGAAGGCTTTAGACACCCAAAAGTAGAAGACACCAAGGACACACCCTGGGCTTCCACATGACTGTGTGGTCAGTCCTTCTCCCCCTAGAGCAGCCAACTAGGCTAGATTAGGTCTAGTCCTTGTACTCTGCCTATCCATTCTGTTTCCTGAATGTTCTCTGAACTCTGCATCTACTCTTTCCTCTTGACCCTTCCTTTGCTAGGTGCTTTTGCCCACCTGGTCTAACACTAACCTGACACCTCTTCACTGATGCTCTGTGATCTTCCCAGGGCCTAGCACCTGACTCAGAGCCTTATTCTTTTCTGATTTGGCATTTCTCAAATGGTGTGCCAGCCTTTCATGTGAGTATAGGATATGAGTTCAAAGTAGGAATGTCTTTTTTCCCTTTTCTGTTCTTTGAGGACTGGAAGGTTTATGATGATGATGTGCACATGTTGGTGTAGTTATATGCTTCACAGTACATGACCTCTCTTTATCAAATACATCCGAGAGCCTGCTGTGCACCAGATTCTATGCCAAATGCTTTATATGTTAGTTGATCCTCATTATAATCTCTCAAGGTAAATATTTTTATCACCAGATGGAGACACCAAGGCTCCAAGAAATCACATTTTTCTTCCATTCTGTGATGGAACTCTGAACCCAGCCCTATCTTCTTCAAACCTGCCAGGCCCCTTCCATTAAAGGAGAGTTCTACGATCGATATAAGAATGACAAGTCAGCACATGAAACAGAAACTAAAGGGTCAGATTGTAGACTTTTTATGTCAAATGTTTTCAGTTAACTTCAAATACTATGAGGCAGATTTAAACTCGTGGAGATGAACTGATACAGTTGCTTTTTTGATCCTGTATGCAAACCCAGCATGTTCAGAATACAAAAGATGGCCCATAAATAGACTCATAAGAAGACCATTTAGAAATGATACAAGCCTCACATACAAGTGGTTTGGATCTGTGGATCTTTTTCATTGTGATATTTTTTGAGGGACATGACAAATTGTCAGTAGCTATTGGTTGGCTGTGGGACTGGTACCACCACAGGATAGCCACCTAAGTCTACCAGCTGACAGACCATCCTAGTCCTAGCTCCAGGTTCCAAGTTCCCAAAGCAGGTCAGTGGGTCAATCAGTGAGCCTTGTAATCTTAACTTCGTGTGTCAAGAAAGGCTTTCAGTAACTGGATACCCTGAATTATGTGATGACTCACAAGTTTGACACATGAGGCTGAAGTCAGAGCATAGATCAAGGAGATGAAGTCCCTCTGGCCTCTGTGGAATGTACTGAAGCCCACTATGCAGCACTAACTGCATATTGTCTTACCCTGGTGCATACCTAAGCCATGCTCTTCTCTCCAAAATAGCCTTTTTGGAATTTGCGTGGCTAAAACTGCATTTTGAGCACAAGGACTAGCACTGTGATTTGAAAGATGGGTAACCAATGTTGTTAAACTTGGACATGGTACGTGCAAAACCCAGAATCTAACACCTTACATTCTTAGCTAAGGTTTTCTATGGGAGGCCCAGTATGGGTATAGGAGGAGAAATGAAAGATGGAAGGGGTAGCCTGTGGACTTAAGGCTGTAGGCCATACAACTTAAAAGTTTCCCCTGGATTCCTACTCAAATCAGTTCTAAAGTTTTCTGGCTTTGAAGTCCTTGGGTATAGTCAGGTTTGAGCCTAGGCACAATTAGCATCTTGGCTGCAGTTAGCTAGGAGGGCGCCCAGACCACCCTTGCCTTTCTTAAAGATGTCTTACGTTCTTTGGAACAAAGACTCACCAAAAGACTTTTCCCTCTTCTCATGCATACACACCCAAATAGCCATCCAGGTCAGAATCCCGCTAGAAGCACATGTGGTGAGCCAGAACTCCAAATCCTGACAATCAATCTCTAGGGATTGAGACGTTCATTTTTCACACCAAAACCCAGAGAACTGGGTTTGAAAACCACACACATTTCCTGCTTCTGGCCTGGACTTTAGGGTCCCACCCTTGAGGCGGGGCCTGGGGCGGTGACTCTGGCTGGTGCAGGGCCTGAGCGGTGAAGGGGGTCGGAGGGGGTGTGGCCTGAGGCTGGGCTGGACGTTGAGGGGCGGGGCTCTGACCGGGGCGGGGCTGTGAGGGGCGGAGTCTAGAGCAGGGCTGTGAAGGGGCGGGGCCATGCGGGGCGTGTCTCTTACTCTTGTCGCAGCTGAGGGCCGCGTGGATAAAAGAGGCAGCTGTGTAGAAGAAAATGCTGAGGTCGAAGGTAGGCACGTCGTCAGCCTCGACGCCGAAGTATTGGATGGCCAAGTCACTGTAGAAGTCGGGCCCGGTGTCCACGTTCCAGCGGCCATGGGCGGCGTTCAGCACATGCGTGAAGCCCGCCTTCTGCAGCCCGTAGCGGTCCAGCGCCGTCACCCTGGACCCCGGAGAGAGGTCAGTCAGCGGAGGGAGGTCAGTCAGCGGAGGGAGGTCAGTCAGGGGAGCGAGGTCAGTCAGCTGAGGGAGGTCAGTCAGCGGAGGGAGGTCAGTCAGCTGAGGGAGGTCAGTCAGCGGAGGGAGGTCAGTCAGAGGAGGGAGGTCAGTCAGCGGAGCGAGGTCAGTCAGCGGAGCGAGGTCAGTCAGGGGAGCGAGGTCAGTCAGCTGAGGGAGGTCAGTCAGCGGAGCGAGGTCAGTCAGGGGAGCGAGGTCAGTCAGCGGAGGGAGGTCAGTCAGCGGAGGGAGGTCAGTCAGCGGAGGGAGGACAGTCAGCGGAGCGAGGTCAGTCAGCGGAGGGAGGTCAGTCAGCGGAGGGAGGTCAGTCAGCGGAGCGAGGTCAGTCAGCGGAGCGAGGTCAGTCAGCTGAGGGAGGTCAGTCAGCGGAGGGAGGTCAGTCAGCGGAGCGAAGTCAGTCAGCGGAGGGAGGTCAGCGGAGGGAGGTCAGTCAGCGGAGCGAAGTCAGTCAGCGGAGGGAGGTCAGCGGAGGGAGGTCAGTCAGCGGAGGGAGGTCAGTCAGCGGAGGGAGGTCAGTCAGCGGAGGGAGGTCAGTCAGCGGAGGGAGGACAGTCAGCGGAGCGAGGTCAGTAGGCGGAGAGAGGTCAGTCAGCGGAGCGAGGTCAGTCAGCGGAGCGAGGTCAGTCAGCGGAGCGAGGTCAGTCAGCTGAGGGAGGTCAGTCAGCGGAGGGAGGTCAGTCAGGGGAGCGAGGTCAGTCAGCGGAGGGAGGTCAGTCAGCGGAGGGAGGTCAGTCAGCGGAGCGAGGTCAGTCAGCGGAGGGAGGTCAGTCAGCGGAGCGAGGTCAGTCAGCAGAGCGAGGTCAGTCAGCCGAGGGAGGTCAGTCAGCGGAGGGAGGTCAGTCAGCGGAGGGAGGTCAGTCAGCCGAGGGAGGTCAGTCAGCGGAGCGAGGTCAGTCAGCTGAGGGAGGTCAGCGGAGGGAGGTCAGTCAGGGGAGCGAAGTCAGTCAGCGGAGGGAGGTCAGCGGAGGGAGGCCAGTCAGCGGAGGGAAGTCAGTCAGCGGAGGGAGGTCAGTCAGCGGAGGGAGGTCAGCGGAGGGAGGCCAGTCAGCGGAGGGAAGTCAGTCAGCGGAGGGAGGTCAGTCAGCGGAGCGAGGTCAGTCAGCAGAGCGAGGTCAGTCAGCTGAGGGAGGTCAGTCAGCAGAGCGAGGTCAGTCAGCGGAGGGAGGTCAGTCAGCGGAGCGAGGTCAGTCAGCCGAGGGAGGTCAGTCAGCGGAGCGAGGTCAGTCAGCGGAGGGAGGTCAGTCAGCGGAGCGAGGTCAGTCAGCGGAGGGAGGTCAGTCAGCAGAGCGAGGTCAGTCAGCGGAGGGAGGTCAGTCAGCGGAGGGAGGTCAGTCAGCGGAGCGAGGTCAGTCAGCTGAGGGAGGTCAGTCAGCGGAGCGGAGGTCAGTCAGCGGAGCGAGGTCAGTCAGCGGAGCGAGGTCAGTCAGGGGAGCGAGGTCAGTCAGCTGAGGGAGGTCAGTCAGCGGAGCGAGGTCAGTCAGGGGAGCGAGGTCAGTCAGCGGAGGGAGGTCAGTCAGCCGAGGGAGGTCAGTCAGCGGAGGGAGGTCAGTCAGCGGAGCGAGGTCAGTCAGCGGAGCGAGGTCAGTCAGCGGAGGGAGGTCAGTCAGCGGAGGGAGGTCAGTCAGCGGAGGGAGGTCAGTCAGCCGAGGGAGGTCAGTCAGTGGAGGGAGGTCAGTCAGCCGAGCGAGGTCAGTCAGCCGAGCGAGGTCAGTCAGCGGAAGGAGAACTAGTCAGCCCAGCGAGGTCAGTCAGCGGAAGGAGAACTAGTCAGCGGAGGGAGGACAGTCAGCGGACAAATAGAGGAACGGAGTGGAGGGGTTCCCTAAATAAGGCATTTGCAAGATACATCTGCTCTCAGTAACGCCTTAGGCCACCGACCATTTTGTCTTTTCTGCTGTTGCACTGCACTGCAAGGAGAGAGAGGATTAGAGGTTAGGTAAGCTATTCCAAATTTTCCTTTCCCACCAGTCCAGCACTGGACACTGTGGTGGTTCACAGGACTGGACCTGCCAGATTGCCCAAAAGACCACTAGAATAACCCATGCATAGAGCCCTGATAAAATTCTTTGAATAGGCCTCTCTGGAACCAAGAATGGCTTATAAGTCACACTGGTGTCTCAGGCCTATAATTCTGGCTACTCAAGACTGGCTACTCAAGAGACTGAGGTCTGAAAATTGCCATTCAAAGCCAGCCTGAGCAGGAAAGTCTGTGAAACTCTTATCTCCAAATTAACCAGCAAAAAGCTGGAAGTGGAGGTGTGGCTCAAGTGGTAGAGCACCAACCTTGAGTAAAAAAGCTAAGGGAAAACATACCCAAGCCCTGAATTCAATCCCCAGCACTGGTTCCAAAAAAAAAGAAAAGAAAAGAAAAAAGAAAAAAAGGTTTAATGATAGTATTTATATGGGAGGATTTCATTGAAGATTGAGCAAAAGAATCTTGGGTTAACTTGGTTGTTAGGCACAACATGAAAATGATTGCTTGTGGATCCTTTGCCTAGTTGGGCAAGTACTGTTTTGAAGGGAGCTGGTTTCTCTGGGTTATAAATAGCCTTACCTTTCTGGACAAGAATGTCTAGAATATGGTTATGTTGAGGTAGGTGGCCTCAGAACACAAAAGGCAGCCTGATAGATTATCAGAAGGCATAGGAATTGTTTCTGGAAGGGGCTGGAGTGAGGGAATTTGGGAAAGAGAGGCCTTTGAGCTTCTGAGCTGAAGAAGGTAAGAGCAAGCCCAGCCAGTGAAAGAGCACAGCCTAAAGTGTAGAATCTGAAGATAATGAAGGCCTTTCAGCATGTTCTAAACTTTCAATCATGTATCTCCAAGTAATGGTCTGTTTTTACTGTTGGTACAGAGGACACAGGATAGTGAATAAATAGTAAATGAATGGATATGAAGAGAGAAGAGAGAGCTGAAGCCCTGTGATATGATACAGCCTGACTTCCCTCCTGCTTTTGTAGGGTGATCCAGAAGGTCTTTGTGGGAAGGCAATATTGGAGTGAGGCAGGGGAAGAGCTGGGACCAGAATGCTTCATCTAGGGAGAAGAACCAGAAAGTGCTAAGAATACAAGGGAAGCCAGTGTTTTAGAAAAGGGATGAGCAGTGTTTACGCTGTAAAAGATCAGTCTGGTTGAAATGGGAAGATAAATTGGAGAGGGGCAAAACACAAGTAGGCGCTGGGCACCAGTGTCTCAGACCTATAATTAATTCTTAGCTATTCAGGAGGCTAAGATCTGAGGGTCACAGATTGAAGCCAGCCTGGGCTGGCAAAAAGCTGAACATGGAGCTGTAGCTCAAGTGTCAGAACACCAGTCTTGAACGATAAAGCTAGGACTCAAGTTTAAGCCCCAGTACCAGCATACAAACACACAAAAGAAACATTTGCAAGCTATTTGAGAACTATCATATGGGAAGCTGGGACGTTCTACTGAGTCCCCCTGTTGGCTCAGTGTGCTGCCATCCTGACTATGGAATATATTTTGCTTTCGATTTTTCCTCAGAAAAAAAATCTGCTTTTCATTTTTCTTCTTGTCCCAAAGAATGTATACAACAAACATGCTTTTGGAACACAGATCTGCACTCAATTAAAGCCTCCTAATGCAGTCGTCTTGCTGAGTAGCAATCAGCCTTGCTTTGAGGTTGAGCTCAGTGGAAAAATTGAACTGTTCTTGACAGGAAGCTCCTACCTACCAAGGAAGGCCCTTCTAGCTGGGTTCAGCAACTAGATCTCAACAAAATCAAATAGCCTTAGGAATTTGAATATATAACGGTATGCACTTTGCTGCTTTGGGGGTGGGGGTCACAAATCAAACTAGATATACAACAAGTAATGTCTGATACTTCTATGTTTACCCTTCTCGGCATGCTCTGACCGTGTCTGAGAGGAAGAGGCTTCTAAGGAACATTAGACCTAGTGGGTAAGTGAGATTTTCAAGACTCTGCCTCCTGGGCCAAGGAGAAGCCACTCTGGGGACTTCCCCCAGCTCTGTTTACTCAGAATCCAGAAGAGACCTTGGAAGAACATCCACAGCAGAATGGAGTGTTTGCAAATAAAAGAATGCCTTTTTAAATCACACATACCCAGTTAGGCCATATGCCCAGCTCAGCAATTAACACTTCCTTCCATGGCTGGGATGACAAATGTGTACCAGTCCATCCAGCTATTAGTTGAGTGTGGTCTCCATAACTTTTAACCCACAGCCTGGCCTTAAACTGTGGTTCTCCTAAGTAAATATTGTAAACATCTTCCACTGTCTATATATGGCCTTCAATATCTGTCTGCTATTCTTTGTGTGTATATGTGTGTGTGCATTCTATTCTTTTACACAGATTAATCACAATTTTTCCTCATCCAGCACTTCACTGTATTTCTTTAGGCTCATGTGATTATGTCCTTAGGAAAGATTTTGTGTGCTTGTGTGCCAACTCTGGGGCTTGAACTCAGGGCCTTAAACTCTCACTCAGCTAGTGTACTCATGGCTGGTCCTCTATCATTTGAACCATGCCTCCTGCCTGGCATTTTGCTAGCTATTTTGGAGATAGTCTCTAAGACTTTGCCAAGGTTGGCTTCAAACTAAAATCCTCCAGGTCTTACCCTTTTGATGAGCTAGGACTATAGGTATTGAGCCACTGGTACCAGGCTCTTAAAAGATCTTTTAAAAGTAGAGTTGAGGATTCATGGATATATATTTTTTTTGGGGGGGGGTCCGGTCATGGGGCTTGAACTCTGGGCCTGGGCGCTGTCCCTCAGCTCTTCAGCTCAAGGCTAGCGCTCTACCACTTGAGCCACAGCGCCACTTCCAGCTTTTTTCTTTTTGCTTATGTGGTGCTGAGGAATTGAACCCAGGGCCTCAGGCATGCAAGGCAAGTGCTCTACCACTGAGCCACCTTCTCAGCCCGATTCATGGATATTTTAAAATAATATTTTT